ACGGCGGCCACCGCGGCGGCGCCGAGGACCGCGACCACGAAGGCCAAGGCGAACCTGCCGAATGGCTTTCGGGCCGTAGCTCGGGCCTCCGGCCGCCGTCCGGGCCCGGGGGACGCTGCTGGAGAGGCGCATCTGCTGGGAAACATCCCGAGGTGAACAGCGAGCCGTACATTGCCCAGCAGCCCGGACCGTTTTCGTGTCCAGTCTCAGCACCGTGCGCGGTCCGAAAGCATGCTTCGAACACGTGCTTTCGGCACGGAGGCACTTGGGGTCAGGATTTGTTGCGCAGCGTGCCGCGGCGGCTGCCCCAGCGACACGCTATGCCTTGCCAGCGGATAGCGTGTCGCTCCGCTCCACGGGGCGGGAGGTTTTGGGGAATATCGGGGAATTGAAAATCGGTGCATGTGGACGTGGATCGCGTGTCGCGCCGAAGCGCGGTGGGCCAGAACGGGTGGCTCCACACGCTAAGCCGAAGTTTCCGAACGTGTCGATCCTCTCGGCATTTTCGAGCCGACAAACAAATACCCTCCGAAAGCCTCCGGAACCAGCGGCGGCCGCGATTGGCGGCGACCGCGGTGGCGTCCGCCCTCGCGAAGAGACCCTCCAGGGTCTGAAGTCTCCTGGACCCTGGACACACTTCTCAGCGATCGTCCCCAGCGCACAGATTGCCTCGGCACTGGCATCTCGCTCTCGAGCCGACGAAACCTTCCAGGAAATTGTCCGGAAGCAGCGGCAGCGGCTGCGACTGGCGGCGGCCGACGAAAAAACTGCCGAAAGCCGTCGACTCGCCACTGCTCGGACGTCCAATCCCCGTGCATCTGTCGGTTTCGTGCGCTCATGTTTCGCACGATGACCCAAGATGCTTCTCGATCGCCGAAACCAAATGCACTCGTCCGAGCAATGCCAAGCCGAAAGCAGCGGGAGGGAAGTGAGAAGGAGAAGGCCTCCTCAGAAGGCGGAAGGGGCTTCTCAGAACGCTTCCAGCCCTCTGTGAGGTCTTTGCGCCTCCGGGCAAGGCTTACACAGAAAACTTCTCCTAGGGCTGGGGGACTTCCGAGCCCTCTGAGAAGGCCCGCCCCTTTCGAGGATCTTCTGACCCGGGTCAATCCAGGCTCGGGCCAGCCGGGCCTTGCAGGATCCCGCAGGATCCTGCAGGATCCTGCGCCCGAGCCCGGGTCAGTGCGACCCTGGCCCTCCAGGATCCTGCAGGACCCGGCGCTCCGACCGACCCCCACTTGCAGTGGCCCCCCGCCTCTGCCTCCTCCTCCTCCTCCCCCTCCTCCTCCTCCTCCTCCTCCCTCCTCCTCCTCATCCTCCTCCTCCTCCTCCCCCCTCCTCCCTCCTCCTCCTCCTCCTCCTCCTCCTCCCCGACCCTTCTCACCTCTCCCCCCTGCCGGCTCGCCGCCGAGCCAGGACGAAAGCAGCCGGGGCGGCGCCGCGAGTCGGCGGCGGCCGCGGCGGCGTCCGCCATCGCGAAGAGCTCGTCGCCCTCGGAGGGCCGCCGCGGCGGCGGGCGCCTCGGCTCTCGGCGCGCGTGCGCGCGGCGGGCGCAGGAGCTCACGGGCTCGCGGGCTTCGGCGCGGGCCTTGGCGCGGGCCGCCTTCGCCACGACCTGCTCCTGCTTCTTCTCCTCCTCCTCCTGCTTCTCTCCTCCTCCTCCTCCTCTCCTCCTCCTCCTCCTCCTACCACCACCACCACCCCACCCACCACCACCACCACCACACCCACCACCACTACTACTACTACTACTACTACTACTACTACTACTACTACTACTACTACTACTACTACTACTACTACTACTACTACTACTGCTACTGCTACTGCTACTGCTACTACTGCTACTACTGCTACTGCTACTGCTACTACTACTACTACTACTACTACTACTACTACTACTACTACTACTACTACTACTACTACTACTACTACTACTACTACTACTACTACTACTAACTACTACTACTACTACTACTACTACTACTACTACTACTACTACTACTACTACTACTACTACTACTACTACTACTACTACTACTACTACTACTCGTGTTTTTTGTTCACTCTCTTCCTCCTTCTCCGCCGCCTTCTCCTCCTCCTCCTCCTTTCGTATGTTCTGTTGATATTTCGTTTATAATCCTGCCTATCCGCCTTCTCCTCCTCCTCCTCCTCCTCCTCCTCCTCCGCGAGGCTTGGAGCTCAGGGGTGGCGCCTGGGCAATCGTCCATCTTCATGCTCAATTTTCCTGCCCGTGAGACCAACCCTCTGGGTGATAAGGAGGTCTTTTTGGGGGGGGGGCATGGGTGCAGCTTTCGGTTTGCGATTAGCGTCGCCTCAGGTTCGGTATCTCCATCTCAGGATCAATCGCACTATCGACGAAGAGGCCTCGGAGAGGCCCACAGGCTAAACAGCTCACCGCGAGCTTCGGCGCGGGCTCCCGCGCCACGACCTGCTCGACCGCGGTTAGGGTGAGGTCTTCGGAGGCTCTGGGAGGTCTTAGGGATATGTTCGGAGGTTTCTTCCGGTTGTCTGGGGCTAGATCGGAGCCAAATTGGGCCCAAACGACCAGACGAGCCGTCTGCGACCTCATGGCGAGGCAGGTGGGGCTGAGAGAACTGTGTCTTGTTTGACTTGCCACGACGCTCGCACGGGTCTGAGGCTCAGGGGTGGCGCTCGAGAGGGGGGCATCGTGGAGTTCCTCGCCGGCGCCGTTCTGGCGGCGCACAGGGGGAGGGCGCGTGGAGACGGCGATCTCGGGAAGGCGAGTGTGAAGCCACAAAGCTGCCTGGCAGCGCGGTGGAAGCCACTCCCAAACCAATACACACCGCTCAAACCCTCCTCCTCCTCCACCGCCTCCTCCTCCTCTTCCTCCTCCTCTTCCTCCTCCTCTTCCTCCTCCTCATCCTCCTCCTCCTCCTCCTCCGCCGCCGTCGTCGTCGTCGACGTCCGACAGAATCCGTTCAAAATCGGCCTCCAGCGTTCCTCCCACTGGCCGTGCTTTTTCGAGCTGCGCCCCGCCGCGACACGACGCGGAACGACTGCCGCCAGCGCCGGCGCCAGCGCCATCGCCGTCGCCTGCGGAGCCCACGGAAAAAACGTCAGCGCCCAGCCGTGTACATAAAAGTGCGGCCCTTCGGTCCGCGAGGCCAGCCCCGTGCAGCGACCGCTCGCGCAGTGCACGCCTTCGACTGCCGCCGCCGACCCGCCGAGCAGCGGGTACGCACCGACCTGGGCGGCGCCAGTGCAAACCCGGGCCCGCCGGGCCCTGCAGGGCCCTGCAGAGAGCCTGCGGGACCCTGCAGGAGCCTGCACCCGAGCCCGGGTCCGTGCGACCCTGCCCCTGGGGCCCTGCAGGCTCCCGCGGGACCCAGCGCTCCGACGGACCCCCGCTTGCAGTGGTCCCACGCGCCTCTCGTCGGGAGCGGCCAAGAGGGGGGTGCCCAAGAGGGGGGGGGGGGGGGCGCCAATCATGACCAGCGGCACGTGCGCGGCCCAGCGGGGGGGCCAGGGACGCAACGAAAGAAGACGCGGCGCCACGAAATCCGGGGAGATCTCATGGCCCCCGCCCATGAGATCTACCCCCCCCCTTAGTCATGTCACCCCCCCCTTCTCCGCCCCCGCCCCTCGGGCCCCGCCGAGCAGCCGAGGCCGCCCACTCCCGGGCCCGGCGCGCCGGGGCCGCGGGCTGCTCGGCGGGCGCGGCGGGCGGCGGCGGGTGGCAGCTCGCGCTGCGCGCGGCGCGCGGCTCCGCGGCGGCCGCGGGCGCCGCGCGGGCGGAGGCGGGCAGGCCGAAGCCTTCGCGGGCGGCGCGCCGAGAGGCGGCCCGAGGCCCGAGGGCTCGAGGGCAGCGATCGAGGGCAGCGATCGAGGGCAGAGCGTCGAGGGCAGGGGGGGTGGGGGGGCAGAGGGTCGAGGGCAGAGGCGGGAGGAGGAGGAGCGAGGGGGGGAGGAGGGAGGAGGGAGGGAGCAGGGAGGAGGGAGCAGGGAGGAGGGAGCAGAGAGGAGGGAGCAGGGAGGAGGGAGCAGGGAGGAGGGAACAGGGAGGAGGGAGGAGAAGGACCAGTGCAAACCCAAGACTCATCAACGATGTTGAAATGCATCCTCCCTTCAAGCTCCCTCCTCAGAGGCCCCTACAAGGGGTCATTTCCCCTGAGGGAATGGCCCCGTTGGGGGACAACTGTGCAAACATCTGGAAGCGTGCCAAATACCATTCTCAGGATTTCAACGCCACGAGTTAACCTGACTGTCACGTCTTGGCGAGTCTGAATCGTGCCAGAAGACCATCCCTGGGACTTCAAGACCGCGGATCAACGTAACTGTGGCGCCTGATACTCCTGAATCCCTCCGGAACACCATTCCTGATACGTTAACAATGAGAACCAATGAAACTCTTGCAAATGTTTAAAACGAATGTGCGCGGCGCTAAGGCGAGAGCCACACTTTGAAAAGGAACCGCCCTCCATCTGTGAAGCTGTTGCGATTTTTTTGCATCGAGGTCATACATGGTGAGAAAGTCTCAGGCGAAACGCCCCGCACGCCCGCCTTTTCGACCCGCCTCGGGGTGCGACAGGGAGGAGTTATCAAAAGGGAAAGGAATGGAAGAGGAGGACGAGGAGGAGGAGGAGGAGGAGCAGGAGGAGGAGGCCTGCCCGACCCTCCCAGGCGGCCACATGTGAGCCAAACCCCTGCAGGTCAGATTCCTGAAACGCCGGCTTGGGGTCCCTGAGATCTGGGCGCTGCGATGTTTGCACACCGGGCGTTCTAGCCCCGCTTCGGGCCCCAGGACCTCCACGGATCGATCTGGCTCGAGACATGCCGCAAACCAGCGTGGTACGGGGCCCCGGCCTTGACTTTTCTGGGTGCTGCACCTTATCCACGACGTCGGATCTCAGGATCCAGATTGTGGAAGATGTCTGCAGTCATGTGATCAACCCAGCGGGGGTGTCGCATATGCCCCCAGCGTCGACTGGGCTCGCGTGGAGCAGGGCTCGCAGGAGGCCTCAGAGCCTCCCCCCTCTGCGGCCTTGCGGCGCCGTCTGGGAGCCGACCTGCTCGGCACCGCGCCTCTCCCGCTTGTCGGCGCTGCGCGCGAACTGCCCCGGCGAGGGGTCGTTGTCGTCGTGGCCGTCGTGGCCGTCGTCGCCGCCGCCGCCGTCCGTCGCCGCCGTCGTCGTCGCCGTCGTGGCCGCGGCCGTCGTCGTTGTCGTGGCCGTCGTCGTCGTCGTCGTCGCGGCCGTCATCGTCATCTCCGTCGTGGCGGGGGAACGCGAAATCGTTTCGGCGTTGCTTCATGGGGGGGCGATACATGAGCGGGGGTGGTGGAAACGTGCACCTTTCGTGCCCCCTTCTGGGCACAAAACATGCACCTTTCTTCGTTCTGACTACCCACCAAGCCACGCCAACCCAACCCGAACTCGCTGTTGGGCCTGCCAATTTCCAGTGGGGGGACGACGCCCTGGAACATCGACAAAGCACAGCGGAACCAGTGCACCCGCCAACCCGGAAGTTGGGGGTGTCTGGGACCTTCGGGTTGGGCTGGGGTGGCCTGGCAGGTCGTGACACGAATCGCCCCCCGCACTGTGCAACGCCCGAGTTTCTGCAACGCCCCACCTGCCGGGCGCGCGGGCGCTTCGCAAGCGCCGCGTCGCCCGCGTCCAGCAGCGACTGGGGCAGCTCCGCCACCCCCAGGTGCTTCAGGATGTAAGCGTGGGCCTTACAGCCAGAATTGACAGTCGGGATGCGCGATAAGGATGCAACCCCCTTGGACGCGCATGTTGAAGCTTTGCGAGATTCATCGAAAGTAGTTAAGGATGGACCGAAGAGGTAAGGCTGCAAGGGTACCCTTGGGAAGGTGACCCATCCTTAGCATCGGTTTCGACTGTGCGGTGAACCCGTATAATAAGGATGCGCGGTAAGGATATAAGCCCCTTTGGCGCCAGAGTCGACGCTGTTTGAGCTAAGGGCTGCCCAAGGATAGGCCGAATAGGCAAGGATGCAATAGTACCCTGGGGGATATTGTCACTCAGCCTTACCGTGCGCGTTGACTGTAACAGGCCGGTGCGCACCGCGGCGGCTGGGCGGGCGCGGACGCAGGCGCGCGCGCGTGCACGCATCTCGCCTCAGCAAGCGCGCGCGGCGTCGTCGTGCCGCAGAGGCACAGTGGCTGGTCGGCGGGACCGATGAGCAGCGGCGCGAGCGATCCCTGCGAGGCGGGGGTTGATCCGTATCCACCGCCTGGGGGGCCGCGTCCTGGGACCGCAGCCGCGGTGGATACGGACACATGTTGGCCCCAGGGGGCCCGAACACATCCATTTCCACCGGCGGCCGAGGTCCCCGAAGATCGATCCCCCAGGCGGCGGCATTTGATGCAGAAGTTCCCGCCTCGGACTCCCGCAGGCAACGGGTGCGGTGCAGGACGGGCGGGCCAGCGACAAAGCAGGGGCAGGGAAAGCCGCAGAAACAGCGCGGAGCCGGAACGACAGCCAGAGACGTGGGAGGGATGGCGGGAGCACAGGCGCCGGGGGGGCCGACGGACGAAGGAGAGGGTGAGAGAGCGAGGGGCAAGAAGGAGGAACGCCAAGTTCAACACAAACTTTTTGAGTAGGAGATCGATCGGCTGCAGAATCGATGAACCCAGAATGGATCTTCTTGTCGAATCTGCAGCAGATGCGTCGAACGTTCGTAGACCTACGAGCAAGCCAATGTTTGCTCGCAGATTCAACGGACACGTTGGGGCACATCAACTCTGCAGTCGATCTCCTGCTCGAACTTCCAGGCGCACGCGGTGGGTGCGGAGAGGCCGCTCGCCCGTTCGGAAGCCACGCCCAGCGGAGCGAACCTGCGCCGGGCCGAGTACAGGGCAGTTTTTAAGACATGGGGTTTAAAACAAACATAGGATTTTTTAATACATGATCAATGTAGGAATAAATTTATGCATGAGCTCATCCTTGTTTTTACTACTAAATCCCTGCGTTTTCAATACATGATCCGCACGCGGGGCATGTATTAAAAACGGCACTGTAGGCTCGGGACTGCAGGGTGGGGAGAGGAGAGCAGAGCGGGGAGCAGGAGGGGAGCAGGTGGGCAGGGGCCAGGAGGCGGGAGGAGGGGCCGAGTGGAAGGTGCGGGGACGAGTGGATCGGAGGCGGCGAAAGGGTTGAAGAGCCCAGGGGCGGGCATCACACGCACAGCCAACCCGCACAGCAAGGACGAGCAACCTCCCAAGGCTGCACGGGGTCGCACATGGGGCCGGACGGTGAAGGGGAAGCGCCCGGCCCTCACGGGGCAGTGGCGGGTGGGAGGGGGAAGCGGGCAGCGGACAGTGGCGGGGAGGGGTGCGGGCAGCGGCGCCGCCCCGCAGGCGGCGGCGGGCAGCGCGCGCCAGGCAGGGTACCACACACGCACACGCCGGAGGCCTCCGAGATGGGGTTCAAGCAGACTGGACGGAGGGTCGCGCCGCGTCTGCGACGTCAGCGAGGCATCGGCGCCATCGGCGTGGAGAAACTCGGGCTCCGCATCGAGCCGCACCGCCGATGCATCGGCGACGCGGCGCAACCCCACCTGGGAGGCCTGGACACGCAGGGGCAAAGAGGACACGAAGAGAGGGGCCCTCCAGAGGCCCGAAAAATCGAGGAACGCAAAGAAACACGACCTTTCGAACCTCAACGGAAGCCGACCATCACCCTCGAAGAAGCCAACCGTTTGGGCGAAGTTCGCTGGCCCACTTGCGCGCGGAGGCCCGCGGAAGCCGAGAGGGTAGGGGAGGCCACCCGCCGGGGCAGGAGCGGGGAGAGGAGAGGCGGCGGGCGGCACCCGGTCGGCGCGCCCGGCGGGCGAAAGGCAAGAGCGCACCGCACATGGGGCCCTCTGGGGAACCCCAAAGAGGAGGAGGAGGAGGAGGAGGAGGAGGACGAGGAGGAGGAGATGGAGGAGGAGGAGGAGGAGGAGGAGGAGGAGGAGGAGGAGGAGGAGGAGGACGTCGAGGAGGACGAGGAGGAGGAAGGACCGCACTTTCCTCCAGTCGAACCTGGGACAGAGAAACATCCCTCAGGAACGCAACGCCCTCCGCCAGCCACAGCGCCGAAAATATCTAAGGGGGTTACCCCATCCCCCGGGGGCACAAGAAGATCTGACAAGCACGAAGAATATCTGGGGTACCCTCCCCGAGCCGACCTCGATCTTAGTCCGACCGTATTCCCCAGACTTCAGACCTCTCCTGGGCTCAATTGATAATTAACAGCGCTGGGGGCGTTTTTTCCGCTTCCGGCTGTTCGGTGTTCGGCCACCCAGCACGGGGGAAAACACGGAAGCCCAGAACGGAGGAGAAAACACGGCAGCCCCAAAACGGAACCGAACTGACAACGGCCCCAGGGCCCGAATCCATCCATATCCACCGCCCGTCGAGGCCTCCGAAGCTCCACCCCCTTGGCGGTGGCTGTGGATCTATCCCCGCCTCGGATCGCAGGAAGCGCGCGACCGAGACAGCTGGCAGGGCCAGCGCGAGGAGAGGCGACGAAGGACGGCAACACGGCATGGCCCCAGGGCCAGCGGGACGTGAACGGGACGACGACGACGACGACGACGACGACGACGACGACGACGACGACAACGACGAGGGCCAGGACGGGAGACGCAGGGAGACGGCAGGTAGGGGCCCGGCGGAGGGAGGGCGCGAGGGACGCTCTCAGCCCGGGTGGGGGGGGGGCCGGCGCGCGGGGCGCCGGGCCCGCGGGACACGGCCGGCCCGAACGGCCTGCACTGACGGCGGAGAGTCGACGAGCGCGTTCCACTACTCGCAGAGTGGCTGCTCGCAAATGGCCCGGATCCCCCGCGGGGGATCTACGATAAACCTCATCGAAGCGAACCTACGTTTTTCGGACGGTTGCGAGTGGGCACTTTGCGAGTAGTGGAGCGCGCTCGGTGGGAGAGGTTGGATCCGCGGGCGGAACCGGTGGAACGGGGATCGCCTTGCCGGGACGGGTCCAAGCTGCAGGGACAACCAGCCTGCACAGCGGCGCAGGCGGTCCCGGCAGCGAGGGAGGGGGGTCCGACCACAGGGCCACGCTGCGCGGCGTGGCGGGATGGGCCCTCCCTGGCCTTCTCTTCGGGCCCACCCCTCACCCGCTCCCACGCGCCAGCTCGCTTCTCTTGCCTCCTCCACTCCCCTGGCAACGGGTCAGCCTCCATGCTGCTACCTACTCGCGGATGGCTGAAACAGTGGCAGGCGGATCTGCGCTGTCCCAAGCGTTGCTTCTTCGAGCTGCTTCACCCTCGCGATGCTTCAACACGCACAAGACGTCGCGAACAGATCGGGACTGGAACCATCGACCACAACTTGGTGCTGCACTCCTGGGCCCGGCTCGGTCCTGGAGGGCCCTGGGGGGCCAAAAACCGCCCGTCGCCATTTGCGCCTGCTTTAAAACAAAAAAAAAATCAAACCGAAAAAGCCCGCAGCAAAAACATCACGGCGCTGGGAGCCGAGGGAGTGCCAGGGGAGAGCAGTTCGGGGAACATCGGGGGCGCAGGGGCGCGCGCGCGGAGCTCGGCGCGGCAGGAGCAGCCGAGGGTTCGGCGCTCTGGCAGGGGAGGTCCTACATGTCTGTCGTGTCCAAGCTCTTCGAGCTCGCGTCAGAATCAAGGCACGTCCTCCTCCTCCTCCTCCTCCTCCTCCTCCTCCTCCTCCTCCTCCCCCTCCTCCCCCTCCTCCTCCTCCTCCTCCTCCTCCTCATCCTTCTCCTCCTCCTCCTCCCCTCAGAGCTCGCTCGCGAGAGGCCGTCATTGATCACGTTCCGCGCGCGCGCCGATCGGCCAACACTTCGACGCGGCCGTGATGCAGACACTCTGGCACGTTAGACACGCTTATATGCAATGGGGTACTGAATGACTATTCGAACACGTTCTGTTCAATGGCACGTATCTGATTTGGGGACTGCTGGCATTTATGTATTAGCAACCCGCGCCTAACAATGTTCTCCGCAGCAAGATCTGACAACCTGCAAGAGAAGGATGTCGATGTGAAAGGCAAGGGGAAGAGGAAACAACGCAGGACAAAGGGGGTGCAGCAGGAGGAGGGGGAGGAGGAGGAGGAGGAGGAGGAGGAGGAGGAGGAGGAGGAGACAGGTTGGTGAGGAGGGAGCATAAGGTGCAACGGGAGAAGCAAGACAGACACGAGAACAGACTGCGCCGTCTGCGCTCGAGCATGACACTGCGACGGAGAGCGTGCGACGGAATTGCTGTCTCGCTCCATGGCGCTACATGCCGTTTCGGTGCAACTCGAAAGGTACCCACCGAAACCATTGACTGCCACAGCAATCTGGACAACGGTCAATTTGCAGCGCAGGCAACCAGAGACGGAGGAGGAAGGGAAGGAATAGGGATGCCGCGATCGAGAAGCTGAGGGGGCAGCGCCGGGCCAGGGCCCGCGCCTCCGGGACTGCACGCTGCGATGTCTACGCGTCGTACTCGAGCGCGCCCTCCAAGTCGCACCCGGCGCCCGACGAAGGCAGCCAGCTCGGAGCAGATGGAGGCTTGGTATCGCGCCACGCCCTGTTGCTTGTGAAATACTTGTCTGGATCTCCCTCGCACGTGCTATGGTATACTTCCAAGGCGCGACGTCGAGCGACTGGTCGAGGTCAGGGCAACACCTGCTCCATAAACTAAGTATGCATCTGTTGCAGTCGCCTCCACCCCCGCACGGCCTCCCAGAACTGGACGTTGACATCTCACAACAATCGCTGTAGCTACAACTTTCGTCGCAATCAACAGAGGCACGGAGAGCCTCAACGGATAATGTAGACCTGATCATAGAACCTGCCTTTCTGATTCATGCACTGGAATACCAAGTCACAGGCGTAGCGGATCGTGGTGGTCTGTCTAGATGTTTCGAATATTTCGGCCCGAGTATGTGCAGGTGTTTGAGCGTATCATAAAACAGGATTGGGATCATTATTTGTGTGGCAGTGTTGACACATGGAATTATTGACCCGAACAAATCCACGTGAACTCCCTCGCTCTCAGCGTAGCCCATGGCGCCCCACACGTTCTCGACAACACCTCTTTCGTCTCCCATACGACCCAGGACCGCAGCTCAGCCTCCCGTGAGCCACTCGCCCTCTCGCGCCTGCAGGCCTGGGTCGACGGCCTCGCGGAGGTCTCGCCGGGCCGCCCGCTTCCTCGCCGGCCTGCCCAGGGCCTGGGCATCCCGGGCGAGGGCGCCGCGGACCCAGGCGGCAACGCAGGGGATGTCGAAGTCGCTCGCGTGCCGCTCGAGTGCGGCCGCCCACGTGCCCTGACACCCACGCGCTGCCCGCAGGACGCGGGCCAGGTGCGCCGACGGCGGCGGCGCCTGCACGCGGGCGTGGAGTCCGAAGGCACCCGCCTTCCCAGAAGAGGGCGATGCGCGGTGCTGGCTGGGAGAGGTCCAGCAGCCGCGACGCCCACCAGTCTGCCGTGGCGTCGACGTGGCGTTCCCAGTCGCCACGGACGAGGAGCAGGGCCGCCCCGTGGCACGCCCTGGGGTTCGCCTGGACGACGAGCATGGGTCGCACGGACGACGAGCATGGGCTCCTCCTCCTTCTCCTCGGTCCTCCTCCTCCTCCTCCTCCTCCTCCTCCTCCTCCTCCTCCATCTCTTCCTCCTCTTCCTCATCCTCCATCTCTTCCTCCTCTTCCTCCTCCTCCTCCGCCTCCTCCTCCCCCTCCTCCCTATCCTATGGTACCTGTGGTGGAAGATCGGCCCATCACTCGATCCTTGAGGTGGTCGGGCTGGCGCGACTGGCACCAACACGGCCCCAGGCCTTTCTCTTCGACTCTGCACTTCTTCCGCGACGCTGGCCCCGATGGCTTCGACCACAGTCGACCCGTGCCACAAGGACGCAGGATCATCAGGATGCAAGGGCCTCGGAAAGCCACGTCGACACTTTGCAAGCCGGGCGCGGCCGGCGAAAGCGGCCAGGGATGGGCGGAAGGGGAAGGATGCAAGGGTAACCTTGGAAAGATGCTCATCCTTACCTGTGCATTTGGAGCCTTCTCGTCCACGGCCCCAGCGACGGGAGGCCCAGAGCTCCGACGCAATGACCTTTCCGCAGAATATGCTCCTCCCGGGCCGCTTGTTCACGGCCCCGAGGCTGGCGAGGGCCCCCCCAGGCCCAACACGCTCCTCCTCCTCCTCCTCCTCCTCCTCCTCCTCCTCCTCCTCCTCAAAAACCATCCCGTCGTGATTTTCCCACTGCGGCAAGGACACTGCGCACGGCCGGTGCCGAAAACACGGCGAGCAACTCTGGCTGCCGCGGCTGCTGCGGCGTCGCTCGGACCTGCCTCGGGCCGGGCGACAAGCGGGGACAGCAATAAGGGGGGGTTGAGAATCAGCTCACGTATAGCTGATTTTCCCGGCGCCTCCCGGCGCCAGAGACGGCTATGCATCGAGGAATGGGCCCCTCGGTGGGGCCGAAACTCGCCATCGCTCGGACGTCCATTCCCTGTGTTTTTTTGGTTTCGTGCGTG